AGGCAGATAAGGAATATGTTCATACTGAGTTCGCATATGTGGCAAGTGTGTTAGTGAAGAAGGCATATAAGGAATATGTGGATGAAAAAGATAATGAAATTATAAAAAGGGTTGAATGGTACCATGAACGGACATCGAAGATTTTAGAAGGTAAAGCCAATACAGGGTGGGTTTCAGGATGTTTAGACCTTAAAGCTGATATATCATTTGTTAACGATGAGTTAGCAAAGAAGGCAGATAAGGAATATGTTAACGATGAGTTAGCAAAGAAAGCTGATATATCATTTGTTAACGATGAGTTAGCAAAGAAGGCAGATAAGGAATATGTTAACGATGAGTTAGCAAAGAAAGCTGATATATCATTTGTTAACGATGAGTTAAATAAGAAGGCAGATAAGGAATATGTTAACGATGAGTTAGCAAAGAAAGCTGATATATCATTTGTTAACGAAATATACCAAAGTTTAGTTGGAACAAAAAATATTGAAACTATTGTTGGCGACTTTTCTGTCAATGAAGAAAACAAATATTTTAGATGGGAGTTTGTACAGTCCTTAAGAAATGGTATACGGTATAAACTCATTCCGAAAAATAACAATGAAATGTATGTAGGCTATATAAAGAATAATGGCACACAAGTGAAAGTTCCATTAGACAACAACTGCTACTTAAACTTATATGGAGACGAACAAAAGAAATATTTAAGAGTTTATGAAATGACAGATATGACAGATATGACATTGTCTAACGTCGCTCCAGCACCGTATTATTATGACTATGGTGTTGACGCACGTGTAGACCCAAAAAAGCAAACATTATATTTAGATTATTATAGATATAAAAGATATAATGCAATAGAAAAAACGAGAATAGTATACTATTATGAAGATGACAAAAATAAATATTATAGTCAAGATTTTACATACCCTGAAAACATAAGATTATATTAAAAAATATTCTGACACAAACCAGAAGAAACCCGAAATAGTTACACTATATTTTAAGTTCAAAAGAGACAATCCTATAATATCTCATATGTTTGATTTAATGAACCCAGTAGGTTCTATTTATACATCTATGGATGCGAGAGGTCCTCAAGCAATGTTTGGTGTTGGTGCATGGGAACAAATAGTTGACAGGTTTTTGTATTGTGCAAACTCTTCAAAGGAAACAGGGGGAAGTAAAACAATTACGGGTGAAAATTTACCTGCACACAGTCACTACATAGATTTAAGCACATCTCAAGCAGGTTGGCATAAGCATAGATATTGGGATTGGTCAGGAATGACAAAAGGTAAAGGATATGATGTTAAAGATGATGTTAAATTTGCCATAAATTGTTACTGGAGTGACACTCAGGGAGAAGGAAACCATACACATCGCGTTTCAGGATATACACAAACAACGGGACAAAGTAAAGATTACATGCCACCATTTATGACAGTTTATGCATGGTATAGAGTTCAATGAATTCAGTCCAAAAATAATTAATTTCATTAGTTTTAAAATTATTTTTATTTATTTTTTTATTTTGTATGTAAGAACAGAAATGTCGGTCGAAGCACAGACGTTCACGAACAAATCTAATGGTGAAACATTCACAAAAGGCACTTATAACGGTATTGAAGTCTTACGTAGAGACAAGGATGGTTACATTAATGCAACAAAGATGGCAAGAGAAGCAGGAAAGTTAAACCATTTAAACAGATTTCTCAATAGTACTAAAATGCAGGAAATTCTTGAGTTTTGGTTGAACGAATACGGTGGAGCCAAAAGTGGCTCGACCTCAAAACAAGCATTTTATGAGCTTACTAAGGGCGTTATGAATGAATTCAAAGGTATTTACATACATCCTGACCTCGTTCTTCATTTTGTTGCTGAATGGTGCTCTGTAAAGTATGCATTTTATGTCAAAGATATTATGGACTCCATAGACAAGAAAGTTCATGAGAAGTTAGATGAAGAAGAACTCGAAGATACAGTGGAGAATGCTAAACCTTTGTTCGAAGAAGAAGTTGGAAAAATGTGTGAAAAACAATTAGAACATGAACGTGAGATATATTATGGTTATAGAGATTCTCCATACGAACTAGACCAATGGGAACAAGAAGATTTAAAGAGAGAATTTAGAGAATATGAACTCGCTAAGATAGCATTTGAAGCTGCAGAAAAGAAGTTAAAAGTTTGGGGTCGTTTTGTACAAAAATATTGTGAGTAAATGAACCATTTATTTTTGTCATAAACGACCAAAAATATATTTTATCGTTAATGGTTTCATTAAGTGACTCAAAGAGTCCGGAGACAAAGTCTCATGGTTTCAGGTTATTCAATAATTAATTATTTTTGAAGAACTGGAGGTGCTACCATGCTACCATGTGCTACCAGGTCATTTAACGATAAAATAAGTGATAACAAATTTTTATTTTTATCATAAATGAATACCCCACAAGCTCAAAATTTACCACGAATCATAACAAGGGAGGAAATGATAAAAATGATGCGAGAACATGTTAAAAATAACAAACCACTAAAATTGAGAAAATGTGGTTATGCGGTAATGATGGAAAGAGAGATGTTGTCGAAGAAAAATAAAAATTAAATTTGGATAGAGTTTAAAAATTCATCTTTATTAAATTCATCTCTTCCAATCAATTTATTTATTCTATTAAATTCTTTTATTTTTGCTTCACTCAGTTTAAGGATTGAACGATAAGTTTCTAATTTTTCGATTATTTCTTTCCTCTCTTTATCGTTTTCAACCCCACCGCATTGTGGCTTCTTTTTGTAATAGCATATTTTTGATTTAATTCTGTTTAGTTTCTTTTTATATTCATCGTCTGGACTCTTGACTGCTTCGTTGTCACTCATTTCTTACGAAATAAAAAAATTAAATATTATTTAAATATAATGGAGTAATAAAATAAATCGGAATTTCTATTAATTTATTGTCAACTTCAACTAATGCATTGCCGTTAATATATCTAACAAATTCAGCTATTGTGTCAAATCTTCGTCTTCTTTTTGTCATTGATTTATCAGTTTTTCCATAATCGAGATGAATTAAAACTTTATTTCCTTGTTTAAAATTCATGAGCCCCGAATTAATTTGTTCACGTTTAACATCATTTAACTTTTCCATTTGCTTTCTAATATATTCCCATTCTTTTGAAATATCATTTTTCATTTCCACTGGTTTCATGTTTATAGTTCTATGCCATGTATTATTGTAATAATATACTAACTGTTGTATGATGGAGTCATGATTTCCATCCCAGTATATCTGACCGTTAACCCCTAACGCATCTCTAAGAGTTCTCATTACCGCATCAACTATTTTATTATGAAACGTATATGGAGAGGATGAAAAGTAAAAATTAATTTGTGGGAAATAATGAGTCATAGCTGCCTGAAATCCTTTATCACCATCACCCCTGATATTATCTACTCTTTCATGATCTAGTAAGTATTGAATAGCTCTTCTTGTTTCCTGTTTTGTTTTCCCTTTCACCGGAATGCAATATAAATATCTGGTGTTAATGTTAATGGCAAATAAATAAGTAACGTTTCCTCTTGAATATTCCAGATGATCGATTTCATATGAATATGGATATGGAGCAAATGAAGGGCGACTAAATTTTTCCTTTAACGGTTGAATTTTCGGGTCAATTGGTTTATTTAATATCTTGAAATCCTTTTTAAAATCTTTTTGCTTCTTTAATGTTTGAAATGGATATAATAAAGTGAATGATGAAGGATTAACTGAAGGAGGAGGAGGTACTGTCGTTGGAGGGTTTGGTGTTGCAAGTGGTTTAATTTTATCTGCTTTGATTTTGGATGATGAAGTTTTGGATTTCATTCCCCCCTTCATTAATTCCGGATGTATTCTATTCATTTGTTTTAAATATGCTGTATATAAAGGTTTGATATACTTTCCCGCTTCGAGTTTATGTTGAAGGATGAATTCCAAAAGTTGATCTTCATTTAAAAGTCGGGCTGAATATGGTTTAACTAATGAATCATAAATTAAAGCTTGTGCATCATTTATGGTCTGAAGGACCTGGGCGTTTTGCACCTTTAGCTGTTGAACATTTGCTACTTTCTCTTTTGGTGTTGTTTTCGGCTTTTTCTCTTTTGGTGTTGTTTTCGGCTTTTTCTCTTTTGGCTTTTGTGACTCAGGATTATATAATTTATATAATTCATCAATATCTTCTTCTGTTAATACTTTATTTTTGAAATCTTTCAACTGTTTAAGTTGTGGTTTAGTTTTTCCCTTTTTATATTCATTATTTTTAATTTTGTCTTTAATTTTAGAAATTATTCTATCATGATATTTCAAAACTTCATTTTTATAATACGGATAATAGTATTCATGCATATCATCACCCGTTATATTGTTATCATATTTTTGGAGATATGCTTTTAAATCATAATAATTAAGAAAATTTTGATTAAATACTAAACCATCAATTAAATTTTCCAAATCCGCGTTATCCATCAAATCCGCGCTATCCAAATCCGCGTTATCCATTTATATAAAAATAAAATAAATGTTTTAAGGGTGCCCACCTCTTTGAATCATAGTATCAAAACCATTATTTACATATTGAATCGCATCATTAACGGTTCCTCCTTCTAAAACAGTATCAAATGGTGGAGTCCAGATTTCCTGATGATGATCATAAAATCCAGCAAAATTAACCGTATTATTAGGTAAAATATGAATCTCAGCGGTATATCTTCTATCTAAATTTGGATGCCTTATATGTATACCATTACTACCTGGATAAAATCTCAAACCTTGATTTTGTTGACGCATCAAATTATTGAAATTTCTTTCTTCAGGGGTGAATGTTCTTCTCCGTTGATGCTGTGGTGGGATTTGAAAAATTCGTTGTGGTTGATTATTTGGAATCTGAAAGTTAAAACCATTTGGTATAAATCGATTTAGTTCCTTTTGTCTCTTCTGTGGCATTTCATTAAAAATAAAATTTCAAATTGTATTAAATAAATGGCATACAACATCCATTTTCACAACATACAGCCTTAGTGTGTGCTCCTGTTAATGCAGTCTTACCGATTGTTAAGCGAGTCATTGACCCGTTTTTAAGTTGTAAATTAATATTCTGACCATCAAATATCACTTTATCATTTATTATATCCAAATAATTTTTAGGTGTTAATTGTTTATTTTGTCGTAAACTAACTCCTTTCATTTTTTGTGCAATCTTTTTAAAATCACTTCCATCAATTGAACCGTTGAATGAAGTATAACACTTAGGACATAAAGCAACCATGTTATCACCTTGTTTCTCAATTGCTAAACCCAATAACTTCTTCTCATGTGCTTTTTCTTCAGCTTTATTCTTTAATTTAGGTTTAAATTTCTCATTAAAACAGAAGAAATCAAAAGGTGCGAATTTGAAAATGTTTTTATCATAAAATTTTTTATCGGTTACAATTGCTTGAAATGCTTGAGTGTTAGGAAGATTTGGGTCGCCAGCGATTGCCCAATAAGATGAATCGGTATCACCTTCAATGAAATGAAAACGATTAACATTCAAGCATTTATACATAAAATCATAAATGAAAACCAAATACCAGTATTTAGCATTATCTAAAGTGAAGAATGCCTCTTGTAAACATGTATCACATCTATAAAATCTATCTTTAAGCATCACTTGATACGTATCCTCTCCTATTTCTCTTATGTTTTTAAACTTATTTGACATACATGCAACGCGTGCCTTCTGTGCATTCATTATTTTAGTCTTTGCGTAATTTTGTGTATTCATTGCATCGTAACCATATGATCCATTAAGTGAAATCTTGCAAAATAAACTTTTTCCTTTATTTCCTTCTAATTCAGCCTTTTGTCTTTCGTTCATAAATTCGTTCGCAAATTCATTAAAACAAGTGTTTTTCGTAAATGTTAAAATTGATTGAATGTCATCAATGATAAAATGAAATCTGTCTATTAGATACCAAAGATAATAAGAAGAAAATGGTTGATATTGGTTGTGTGTTGATGCTAACTGAGTTAATTTCCTCTGTTTCTGGTCAACTGGTAGATTGTTTGATTTCATGTAATTATACATAAAACTGCCAATTGTTTTTTCATCTGTGATAATATCAAAGTTTCTTATTATTGGTAAAAAGTTTATGTAATCATTAATGTATTTTTCATCAATGTGACCCTTTACTTCAGCCACGAATAAAGTATTTTTCTTCTTAATTATTCCCAGTGCTTTTGCTTTCTTTGTTGCTGTATCACAAATGATAACACCATTCAATCTTCCCGGCATATACATTTTATGGTCAGTATATTGAATGAAATCATGAGGATTAGATGAAAATGATGAAGGATATAATGAATTAAAGTCAACACCAACGAAATGAGTCATAATGTTGGAAGTGTCCTCATTTGATACAGTTTTAGTTTCTGGATTATATGAAAGTTTATTAATGTGCGTGATTCCTTTAAGATTTACTCTATGTTGAACATTTGATAAACCACCAGTAATTCCATTACGGAGGATGTGATAAGCTTCAACTGAATCTAGAGTCATTGGTAAATTATTTTTTAATGTATAATTTCTTAAATTGATTCTTAAACGTTGAACATCTTCATCTTTATTTGATTTTACGACATTGCAATAACAACACATTAACTGACAATTTTCTTTGGTATGTGGTTTTTCATTATCGATTCTATCTAATGTTGGTTTATTTGCATATGTAAACGCTTTACCACACATTTTGCATTTAGATGAAAGGATTAAATCGTGATAGTATTGAAAATCATCCATTGAAACATTGTTTTTAGTATCCCTTTCTGCTTTTTCATCTTGTTTCTTATATGAATCAATTTTATATTTCCAATACTTTTTTGTTAATTCAAAACTTGATTCCACATTTTCTTCTTCTGGATATGTTTCGTTAGGATTGAAGTTCTTATATGCTAACGCGTAACGAATCATTGATGCATTCGATGATAATGAAAGATTATGAAGCATGTCAATTTTATAAACAAATGTTTCTTCAATAATTTTATCAATTGGGTCAATCATAATTTCAACGTCTTTATTGCAATAATGAATAAAATATTCTAATCTATTCTCAAAATTTTTAGCATCATTGAGATATATTTGATAATCTGAATCGGATATTGTTTCTTGAGTTAATGCTGAATAAAATGAATCTTGAGTGAATGGTTCCACTTTATATAATTCATCTTCGTAATTCTCCCATGTGATGAATTGATAAGGGAAAAAGGATTTAACACGTGATTTATTGTTTCCGAAATCTTGAGTGAATTGGTCTAATGTTCCACCCGCTATATAATTTCTGATGTCAATAAATCTTAATTCATATGGACAGTTTGTTTTCTTTACAATGATTTGCTTAAATTGTGAAGATGAACCCAGCATTGATTTTATTTTCCATTTTGCAGTGTTTAAATCACGAAGAATTAAATTTAAATCAAACTTTCCCGAATTAAAACCTATGATATTCACTTTATTGAATTCCTCATCTAGAAGTTCTTTAAATGCTTCCTTCTGTTTTTCATTTAATGTATGGGACAAAGTCCCCGCCGTTTGGTCCGTTTGCGGCTTCATTAATTCTTCATATTGTTCAATATTTGATTTAGCAACTAATGAACAGGTTGAAAATAAAAATTCAATCCAATCAGAGATGAACGAATCACTTGATGTTAAGCAAAAATTCCTCGTAAATGTTTTATCGTGGTCTACGACCTCGCCGCTTCGGTCCGTTTGCGGCTTTAATTTAACCGTTGATGATACCATAAATGGTTTTAAGTAAGCGTTCAAAGTTGCACATTCAGAAAGTTGAAGTTCTTCTTTAGTCTCTAATGTTTCGAAGTCAAAAGTAATATAATATCTTGTTGGTTTATAATATTCCTGCAAATTGTGAGCTAATAACCACTGATATATCTTCTGTTTCGTGATATGTGGTGCATATGGTTGTTGTGTGTTTTGCAATTGAACGTCTTGAATTAATCTTCCATTATTTTCTTTACATTTCTCACAATGCTTTAAAAATCTTCTTTGGTTTTTCCTTTCTGGATCATCGCGGATAGAATAAACTTCTTCTTTACAATATGGACAAACTTTATATCCTGTGAGTGCTTCAACGTCTGTAATTCTGTCAGCGTGAAGTTTTCCACATGGACTCTGTGTTAATAAAATATTTACTGTTTCAAATTCTGGATCTATCATTATTGATTCCACTAATGGAAAGTCTACCTTATTTATGTCCACGTCTTCTGGTTGAGGAACACAATAATAAAAATCAATATTAACGTTTAACATTCTTGCTAACCTCTCACTTTCTGATGAAATGTCAAATCCTTCATATGCATCTATGGCTTCATTTAAATAACTTCTACGAGTTTTAGGATTAACACCATCAGGAATGTTATAGAAGCGTTTAAATAACCTTCTACCTTCGGCTCTTATTTGATTATCATTCATTTTAGCTGTTCCGTTTTTGTTCATTTATGTAAGAATAAAAAATTAAAAAATAAATAAAAATAAAGTTTATTTTTTTAAAGTCCAGGGCTAAAGTCCATAAAATGAATTAAGAACACATAAATTTTTATCATCTGCGACGTGACGAATACATTTTAATTTACTCAAGAATGCGTACCCTGATACATTAAATCTAATTCCTGTCTTATTTAATTTCACAACTTTGAAAAGGAATGTATGAATAGCTATAAAATGATGAGATGATGTTTTATGGGTTGCTTCCATTTTTTCTGAAATAAATGAATAAATATAATGTTTATAAGTTTTCATATCTTTTATGTTCTTAATAACGAATGGTATAGACTTTTCAACTTCGTCTTCCTTCGGTGCTGTTCTTTCATATGAAACATTATTAGTATCTTCAATAATGAAACCACAATCGCATAAAATTTTATATGTACCAATTGTTTCTTTTGATATTTTATCTAACAAATCAAAAACTTTATCAACACCCGTGCATTTATTTAAATAATAATTTGTGTAAATATCATGGTCTTCTTTCTTAATCGTATTTGTTGCATATGTTACATTTTTCAGTGCTTTTTTGAATTTTTCAGAATCAAGAGGAGGTGAAAGTAATATACAGGGGTATTCTTCATCGTCAATAAACTGAAGCTTATGTTTACGAATAAATTTAGTACCTTCTTCTGAAAGTGTTTCGTCAATATCACCATCTAATAAATTTTGTGTTGATTCTGAGACATAATTTTTATATCTTTCTTCATGAGATTTTTGAACTTCTGATTCTGAAGCTGGGATATTCATTAAACCCTCTACTTCATTTTCATTATATTTTTCAACTTCTCTTAATTCCTTAATTTTTTCATCTATTTCATCTCTTATTTTTTCCAGTCTTTCAATTTCATCATATTCATCATCTTTAATCCGTTCTTCATAATATTCAGGGAAAACATCAGGTTCTTTAGGTTTTTCTTCTTCAGATGTGGGATATAAGAAATTTATAACATCATCTTTATTCATTTTTCCATCATAATCTAAATCATTTAAAAACTCCGCGAATTTTTGACAATTTCTTAAATAATATTTACTAACCTCATAACCTGCCTCCTCTAATATATCCTTTATTTCCTCATTTGTGAATTCCAATTTTTTAACGTCGTTAGTTGTGACACTCATTTTCATACGAATTAAAAAATAAATTATTCAAAAAATGTAAGACATGAATTTTTAAAGTTTATTTTTTTATTTTTTTTTATTTTTTTTATTTCATTATGGTAGTGAATCTTTCATTCATGAATGATAATTATATCTAATTTCTTTTACTCTCTCGTATATACTAGATTTAAAGAATTCAGAACTTTTACCATAATCTCCTAAATGTTTTCTAATCCCTAACGTGTGCCAGTTATTATATGAAACTGTATAAACTTTATCTTTATCTTTACACCTTTCATCACTTCCAATATATTTATATCTCAGTTTTGATTTAGCATTTTCATATTCATTAGCGTTTAATAATTCGCAGTCTTCCTTTTTAAATTGATGTTTAAGATATTCAGGATTTAATACTCTACGTTTATATGCTCCTAACTTAGTTCTAAAGGTTTTTCTACAAAATTTAGGAATTCCATCCTCTTTAATGTCATCAATGATTTCCATTTCATTATTTTCAATTTCTTCTTCTCGTTTATGAGGTCTTTGATTATGACTCCATTGATTCCATGAAATTAAATATTCTTTATCATTATATTTATACCTCATTAGCTTATTTTGGCTTTCATATTCATTTAATAATTCACAATCTTCATTTTTAAATTGAAGTTTAACCCATTCAGGATTTAAACAATGTTTAATTAATCGCGGAATATCTGACATCATCTATATATAGCTTCTTTTATAAAAGATAAAAAAATAAATTATTTTAAAATTAATGTTAATTTTTTATCTTTTATAAATAAATATATTTTAATGCATCGTCTATATATAGATGAAACAAAAAAAGTCACTAAACCCGCACTCTTATACTACTTTTGATACACAGTCTTTGAGAAACCTGTTTATCTAATATTCTATATATTAATCAATATTTAAATTTAGCATCATTCGCTTTATCATAATCTCATTTGGAGTTCGGAAGTTTCTATTACAAAATGCTTTTTAAACACATCTTATGACATTTATTTCATTTTAAGATCATTGTATATGTATATTTCCCGAACAAAGCTAAAATTTGCTAAAATAAAATCTCAGTTTTATGCTTATAAATACGAACCACTACAAACTTTTCTTATTCCTTTTATAAAATCTATTAACGGCTCATGATTTGTGAAATTCCCAGAGATTGAGGACACTAGGTTTTTCCCACTTGGTAAAGGCTGTTTGATATTCTTACGAGAAATAAGGGAAATAAGAATGACAAATATTGTCGAAACAAAGTTTACAGTAGCAAGAAGTCTGATCTCTTGAGAAATGATTTCAAATATTATGATTTTTTTTAAAAAAACTACGAAATTTAATCACATAGAAGTGAATCCAACAAAGTAAAGCTTGCTCAAAAAAATGCCGGTGAGTTTTTTTTTATGAAAAAAATTTCACTTCATTTAGATCTAAAAAATGAATGATGATGAAGCATTAATGGCAGAACTTATGGATATGATGGCCGGAGGTAAAAGGAAAAACGCAAAGAAAGGGGCCAAAGAAGAAACTAAGAAAGGAAAAGCAAAAAAGAACGATGTACCAGATGATGACGAATTAATGGCAGAATTAGAACAAATGATGGCAGAAGAAGAAGATGGAGGTGAAGATGACGACTTAAAATTATCAGATGACAATAATGAAAATCAAGATGATGGAGAAATCGACGAATCAGCAATAGGAGATGATTCTGAAGATGAAAAACCACAACCAAAGAAACCTGAACCATCAAAACCACAAAATACACCTCAAATTACTCCAACACCTTCAAAACCAGCAGCAAAACCTCAGCAACCTCAACAACCACAACAACCTGCAAAAACAGCAGCAAAGCCACCACCAAGCTACGATTTTATGAACAATTTCCCAGATATAGAAGATCCTCAACAAAATCAGCCTAAACCTGCTCAACCTGCTGCAAAACCGCAAAAGCCTGTTGAACAGAAACCACCGGAGCCTCAAAAACCACAGCCAGCGCCTAAACAACCCGAAATACAACAACCAGTCCAACCAGCACCAGTTCCTCAGCCGAAAAAGCCAGCTGCTCAACAAGAAAAGCCTGCGCCAAAGCCACAGCCTAAACCAGCTCCGAAACCCAAACCAAAACCTGCTCCAAAACCAGCACCAAAACCACAAGCTCCACCGAAACCAAAATCAGTTTCGGACATCAAATCGACAGCAGATTACGACAAATTATTTTCAACATTTGCATCGAGCTTTTATACATTTCTTACAGAGCCAACTAAGCCAGAAGGCAAGAAGTTCGTGAACCAAGTCGATCAGCTTCTTCCAATGGTCTTAGATGGCCCTCAAAAGTTTGATCCGAATATTTCTGTGATAAATCCGAAACATATTGCTCCATACTACTCGAAATTCTCCGAATTCCAGGACAAAGATGTCATTTCCTGCGCAGATCCTGTATCAGCAGCTAAAGTATTACCTCAAATTCAAAATACTCTACAAGAGCTCAAAAACGACATCAAAGCTCTTGCCCACATCAAAGAGGACAAGCAAAAGATATTACCTTTACTAGAAGCCTCCAAGAAACTTGAAAAAACAATCGAAATTTTCCCAGATTATCCATTTGTCATTTCCGATGTCCTTAAATACGGTTTCCCAATTGTTAATAGTGATTTGGAGCCAAAGAAAATCGAACTTACCATCATCAAAGGAGAAAATTTCCCTGGCCAAGACTTTGTGATCAAATCCCAGATTCCTGTACAAGACGAACTCAAAACACTCGACAAGAACAACCCAGTTTTCGTCATATTCATGGCCAAAGGCTTCAAAGGAAAGAATCCTTTGATAAATTACACTAATAAATGGCCATTGACTCAAGATTCGCTCAAATTCGTTCAGAAGATGCCAGCAACAATGTTTTTCATGCATGGAAATGACGAAATTGGCCACATAAACATGGAATTCAGAGGAATTCTTAATAATTGCACTGTCGAAATGGAATGTCCTGTATTAGATGAGAACGAGCAGCCTACAAACATAAAGGTATACACAAGACTTCGTGTTAGAAAAGCTCTCAGAGGCACAGAATGCAAAATTGTCAATCGACCAATTTTAATTTCACCGATTGCCAAATTCTGCAGCAATCCTCCCCCAAAGAAACCAGCTTCAGCCAAATCATCAAATGCTTCAAAACCAGATGAAAGTGAAGCAGCAAAGAGTCAACTTAGACAACCAACACCTGCTAAACCATCATCACAACAACAACCTTCACAACAAACTTCTCAACAACAACAGAAGAAACCAGATTTACCATATTTCTGTGTGTTGGCTGATGATGAAATGGCAGAGTTTTGGAGTATTGAAGCATTGATGTTCTTTGCAGAGAGTCTTGATGAATTGTTGAAGATCTACAAGATGAAGAAGGTAGAACCATCAGAACAGATGTTGAAGATGCACAAATGGGCGAAAGAAACATCTCAGAAAATCATGGATGATGTACAAAATGAAAGAATTTCTATGGAAGAATACAAACAAAAACTCAATGATGCAATTGAGAGAGAAAGAGTTAATGTTGAATGCTGCACAATTCCTGTTGAGAAGAGATCAAGAAATGGATACTTAGGTATAATGTGCAAGGAACTTAGTGAATTCGAATAAAAATAATAATATTTGAATGTTATATTTATTCTCTCATTTTTAGAAAGGCCGGCCCTGAAAAATATGAAAATAGGTTTAATTTTTAGCGTTTAATTTTTAAAAAAATTGATGTGAATAGAGAAAATTGTCTAGGATTTAAACGATGAGAAGAAGCTGGCTTTACCTGATTGAGATTAAAATTAAATAAAGAGTACGTGGTGATTTGGGCGCAGCTGTTTTCTTGATTACTTGATGTGACATCTCCGGTGATGTCTGCAACAGTAACTCCACCTCTAAGAGCATATCCACTAGAAAACATATATTCACGAGCTACAGCATATCCCGGAGGTAGATATTCAATGCTTTCATTAGTATATACAAAGCCAGAACCACCACCCCCTGGGCCGGTGTGCTTTTCAGCACGTCCATATTCAGAAAATCCGCTCCCAGCACCTCCACCATACCAACCACCACCTCCGGGGCCAGCATTAATCCCCTGTACGTCTCTACCTTTCCTGAAATCACCATCTCTAGTTGGGGATGTGTTTATAAGATCAGGATCATATAAAATGCATCTACCTCCCCGATTACGCTGCCCACCCTCACCACCATATTGAGGTTCTTCTCCCTCAAATCCACCAGCATCTCCTCCATTAAAATTAGAGTAAGAATTGTCACCTCCACCAGCTCCGGCCCCACCAGCTACAAGTACTCTATTATTCAGAGTATTCTCAAAAAATCTAAAGTCTGTAGCTCCTCCACCTGTGATACTTTGATTATAGCTCCTACCTCCTCCATTAAAACCATCACGGCCTCCAACAGTAATGAATACTTTTAAAGGCTTAGTGAGCGCGATATTTCCATGAGAATAGCCACCATAACCACCAAATTTTCCATTATCTTGTCCTTTTGCTCCCCATGCTTCAAACTTATAAATACCAGGTTCCAGTAATACACTTTCTGTTTTCCCCGTATATCGGAATTCATATACAACCGCATTCAAAAATGGCATCAAAATTGAGAAGTATTCAAATATGAAGAACCATTCTCTTCTGCATTTTGAAAATGTTATTAAAAATTGATTAAATTTTTTAAAATCTTACTAACGATATATTTTAATTGAAATTTTGACAGAATTTATTTTATTTTAGAATGTATAATCTTATAATATTTTAACATGTTTACAACTTTTTAGAATGAATAATCTTATAGTAATCAGCTGTTTTTTCTTCTTCGAAATCCTTCTTGAAAGGATCGTCTGTATCACTTAAAGCTGTTGTTGCCCAGAATGGATTATCTGTTGTAACCATTGTTGTGTTTGATGTCCTTGAAAGAGACAAAACAACTTCAGCAGCCATCTCATGTTCATCTTCATCAGTTGGATCTTCTTTACGTTTCTTTACTAAAAATATAACAAGAATTATGATAATTAATAGGACAAGTACTCCAATGCCGACTCCGATATAAATAAACAAATTTGAATTTTTCTTCTGAGGAGATGATGATTCAGGTTTTACAATAAGTGGTTCATTAACATCAATGACGATTTCTATAATAGTCTCTGTTTCTATTTCTGTTTGATAAACAATAGTTTTGTATTCACCGTTTATAAAAGTCAGTTTCTCACGAAATGTAGTTGTAAACGAATTAATAAATGTGTACGTTGAAATTTTTGTTATTGTTGTTTTTCCATTGTAATTTGGATCAAATCTTACAGGTGTTCTCCAATTTGGATTAGGAGGGAGAGTTCTAATAGGAAGTATAGTTGCAGTATACGTTCGGGCAACAGATCTTAGATTGGGCTGATTTTCTAATTTGACTTGAACCAAATTAGCTTTTGGTATATCAATATACGTTGTTTTATATGGTAATTTTGTAATAGGTGTGGCAACATATGTGTAACTTGTTGGATCTAAAACTTTGCTTGTTTCTCCTAAATCTGTATTTGAAGTTTTTGCAGCAAGATAATCAATCTCTTTCGCAAATGATGCTACACTAAAACTGCAAGACTCTGTAGAGTCAGATGTGACTCCAAACTTATAATGCTCAGGTTTTTTGTCAATATCATCCCAAACATAGGCAATGGGATTAGTCGATAGCTCGCTACTATCCTTTGATTTTGTGGACAGATCTTGGATAGTATCTTCAATTGATGTCCAAATAATATTATATTGGAATAAAGCAAGATGTCCTGGGCCGTTTCGTGCTGAGAATGCTTTACTACCAGCATCATTATCATGCATACAGCACTTATATGTATTTATATGAGTCGGGTTTTCAGTTTCTTTTCTGGCAAAAATTCCACCGCCGCCTCTCAGCCCTTCTATTGCAGGTGCATATTTGTCAATACTTGTAACGTCATTCGCAGTCAAATTTCTCGTATTTGAAAAAGTTTTTGTACTATCTAATTTATTGCCGTATAATTGAGTATTAAAGAAATTCAATAACTCCATATCGATAGAATAGATACCTCATCCAGCAAATGAAGCAATGTTTGAGTATATTTTGGAATTATCAAAATAAGCTTCTTTGGCTGTAGAGAAACAGATTCCTCCTCCATATTCTAAGGCTGTGTTAGAATGAATATTGCATTCTCCATTGCAAATGAGCTTAATATCTGGAGATAATGTATGTTCTCCTTGAAAATAGATTCCACCACCATACCTAAAAGCAGAATTACTGAAGATATTCGATTTTTCTAGATAAACTGCAGAAGCAATGTGACAAAGTCCTCCTCCAACAGTCGCTGTATTTTGATGAACTTTGAGATTAGAATCAGTCGCAACAGATAGAGCAGTATATGAAGTAAATATTGCACTGCCAGATCTTGTTGAAATTCCTGCACCAAATGCAATATTATTTGAAAATTCAATATTGCCTTTTAAAGTGATTGATGAAAGATAATAATCGATAACTCGCTTAGATTTTTCAGTATTTCCTTGAACAATCGTAGTTTTAACGTTGACTTTACCTTTATATTCATTCACAGGCTGCTTTTTGACTTTTTGAAACTCTGGTGCTTGATCTTGTTGGGAATGCATGTTTATATGGAAGTTATTGCTTTGAAATAAAAATCCTCTGATGCAAAAAAGATAAATAATGAAAATCATGTAAAATAAAATAAATTGAATTAGATAAAAAAAAGTCAATAAATTCCAACTGTTATAATATGTGCACAATATCAAGAATAAAGCTCATTGAGTCTGAATTCTGTAAAGTTTTCAATACCCAGTCAATTTTGTGAAAAATATAATTAATTGAAAATTGAAAAAAAGAAAACAATTCCAGATTTTCCCAACAAAAATAACATGTCAGCTAATTCTAAAAAGAAAATATCAAAAACCTGTTAATTTTATTTAAAATCATTCTTCTGTGATATTGATAATTTGAATAACTCAGCAATAGGATGAGCAGTTCATCAAGTTTGGCAAGCTATATTTAAAGTTGGAGATTAATGATTAATAAATAATAAAAGAATCATATAACATACGGTTTGCTTATCATAGTATAGCTTAGACAATTAGTAGTATTAGTAAAAGTTGATAATTTTATATATTTAAACAATTCCAACATTTCTTGAAACAAATAAGAGAGTTATAATATATTCTATATGAAAAATTTGACCAATTCAAGTAATTCTATAAAAACTATTAAAGTGACTTGATTTTAATAATTTTTGAGTTGAAAGAATTTCCAATTAGACTAAAACATCTACCTTATTCATATAAATATACTATCTAATGGAAAATAGAAAGATTAGCCTAATAAACACAGCAATTCGATTTATTTAGATTTAATTTTTGCTATTTTTCAGATCCAATTGAATTATTTACTGCTTATCATAGCATAATTTTCCTATGCAAATCACACCTGATGAGTTAGCAAATAAATCGATGATGATGTTTCAGGTAAGATTTTGTGAATAAAAAAATTTTATATGGAAGACTTCAATAGATTAAGGCAAGTTGTGCCAGCAATTCCTGAATTATTACTGGACGCATGCACAAAAGCTTCCATTTCAACTAGAGATAAAATAATATCAGACAGCAGAGCTGCAATAATTATTCATCGAATGAAAAAGGTCATCCAACTTAATGATCTTATTCCCATTGCTGAAGATAGTCCGGAGAACGTTCAGCCGCAACAAATTCAGTTCATTTCTGTTTTAATAGATTTCTTACATTCATCACCTCAAATTTTAATAAGCTGTCTGAAAGAAAAATATCACAATGGCGATAAAACTGACTTTAAAGTACTTTGCTGGTCTGCAATTCCCTCGATTTATGGTTTTTATAGCACTCTCGAGCACATTTCAAATGCATTCCCATTTTATTGCATGCTCATTACAAAGATGAACCAAAATGTGGCAATAGAAGCCATTTTACCTTTTTATATTTCCGCATGTACGTTCAAATTCATAGAATCAGTTTATCAAGGCTTTGCAATCAAATTTTGTAATGATGTACGTATTAATGGCAAAAAATTACCTACTAAAATCATTGACGAATATATTCCTCAAATTATTGACTCAATTATCAAAGCTCTTCCTTTACTACCTCAACAGCATGTGTTTCTAATTAAATTTATGTTAGCACAAGGCTGGAATTCTAACGACGTTTTAGATTTCTTTATTCACAGGTTTGTTATGCATCAATTGATCAGATATTTGAACTCAACACCATTTAAACATCATTACGATCACTTTTGCTCAGTTGCAAAGTCAATTAACATTCATAATCCAATTGTTCAAGATTTAATTAAATTTTTTGAGACAAACTCAATTTTTGAAGTTCCACCAGCATTCACTGTCTTTGATATTCCATTTACTTTAATTCTTATCTCAAGAAACGACGTAGATGTCATAATCAGATCTTTAATGGCGATAAACGAGCTTCCAAAGACGATGGTTCCATTTCTTAAGTACAATTACTTCCAGACAATCACTAATAGACCATTCTGGATGCGTATCTACTCAAGGAAACCAAAACCGATTGATACATCTTACAATTGGCGTTCTGTTGTTTTCGACGACATCAAAGTTGATGATATTCCAAAGGATATAAACTTCACGAGGGTCTGGAACAAGATTAACTCCGATTGTTCTGATATGGGAGTTCATCCCTTAGTTTTCTTGACGAATCCGCCATCAGATCCCGACCAACTTGCTAAATACAACATGTTCCAAACGATGCTCGGCAAAGACAAGGAAAATTTCATTGATTTGGCCACAAGGAAAAGTCTCAAAATTTTGAAAAGTCACGCAGAGAGTTTTGAGAATTATTTAGTCCATAACTTAGCTCTACAATCATTAACGAAGTGGCTGAGTGTTGTAGAAGACTGTTTAAGGATGTTTGTTATTCCTTTTGCAGAAGATGCAATAAATAACGAACTAAAAGAAGTTTCTCCGAAATCATTGATCAGAAATCCCCGGTATATTGATTTACTGCTTGAAAGAGCTGCTTCTAAGGTAGATCTTTCAATCACACGTCGTCTGCAGTACTTGTTTGTTATACAGTACATGATGACAACGTTGATTGGTCCTCAAACAAATGAAATGATGAAAAAAATTGACTTAAAATGGTTGTCACTTTTGAATGAATTACGACCAACAATGCCTCTTCCTGAATGCTTTTCTAATAAGAAGAAGAACAAAGAAATAGCACTATTACTCAATGGCAAGCTCTGGAGAATCATAAGTCTCTTAAATTCGATGCAAACTGTGAAATTCGGATCAACTTATTTCATTTTCATGAAAGTGATAAAACAGTTGGAAGAATTGGAAGTTGCTGCGAATTCTGAGGACACAGTCACTCAATACGCGTTAGTACTATCGAACTGTCCTATCCTGTTGTCTAGATTCATTTTAAATAACGCGTTTTTCGTGAAACATGAGAGATTTCGGATGATGTCGGACACAGATTATCATTTGGTAAGATGGTGCAGACTGGAGACAGCTATCCTCAAAATCGTTTCTCAAGACATGAATTTCATGAACGAAGTCTTGAATTTCCAAGAAATGTTGATATCTGCAAAACTTTTGTAATTTTTTTTAGTATTTTTTTAGCTTCATGGAATTTTTCTGTGAAGTATATTATTTATTTAATCTTTTTGTATTTGATTAATTTTATTATTTGTTTATTAAATAATTTATAGTTATGCCTTCTATCAACCTTTTATCTCTTTCCAACAAAAATGAGTCTTTGATACTGTTTAGTATGCTTATTAATGAAATATGATATTGAGTTAAAGATGTATGTCATAACAACTAATTGTTCTTGAAAAAGTAATACCAAAACAGGTAGTTGTCACTAGGAATTCCAGTTGTTAGAGAAAATAAACACAAACATGAATTGATTTATGAACTTGAAGATCAAATCTCATATAAAGCAGGAAACGCGAAGAAATATCTTGCTGAAAGAACGATTAAATGAGCAAGATCTAACAAAGAACTTTCTGATGAGAAAGGTTTGTTTGTTATTGGATTCAGATTCATGTATAGAAAGTATATGTTATTTTATATTACATTGGATGATATTGTGATAAGCTGTTTATTGAACGTATATATGCGATCAAATTTACATTGCCAAATTGAATTTCATCGAAATCCAGGTCAAAAAGTGAAAATTGTCTAAAATTCTGCTATTTATAATCTTGTTAACCCAAATTCTATAAAATTTGAATTGGAAAATTCCTCATAAAAATGGGGAATCAACTTGTCATACCTTCGCAGGCTGATTGGTATGAAGAGCCCCTACGCAAAATGAAGATTACTGTGAAAAATTCGATAGATTCTGGTACTTTTTTGCTGACTTTAGACTGCGTAAATCAATATAATGAGCCATTAATCGTAAAAGCATACGAATATACAGAATCTTTAGAGAAAGGCAATTTAGGTGTCGATAATTCACGCAAATATTTCAATCATCTTACCGATAAAATTCAAGCAACTCAATGTATTATTGATTATTCAAACATTATCATCAATGATCGATATGCATTCCTCATCAGACCAAAAAAGCAATATACTTTACCACAGCGTCTTGAAGAATACCCAAGATTAGAAGAAATAGAAAAAAGATGGGTAGTTTTTCAAATATATTCAGCGATCTCATCACTACATTCCATAAACTTAGTACATGGAGCTCTCAATCCCGATAACATTTTTGTTGATTGGGACATCAGTACTACTGTCGGAGATTTAGCTCCATTCAAACCAACCCAAATAAGGGCTGATAAGCCTAATGTGTATCACCATTACTTTTCTACATCAACAAGGAATGGTTGCTACTTAGCGCCAGAGCAAATTATCACTGAAGATAATGTTTTGGATCCATTATTCTTCAGTAACTTAAAAATTTCGGCCGATTTGTTTTCCATAGGCTGTATAGTGTATTATCTATATACAGGCACTCATCTTTTTAACTTTTCGACTTTGATTCAATTCAAAGAAGGAAAATTCAACTTAGATGCAAAACTCCAAGCATTACCAGATAAAATTAGGAATTTCGCACGTACGTTACTCGATATTGACCCCAATTCTCGTCAAGAAGTCAATACATCTCTTTCAAAATATTTTCCACCATGTTTTCGTCAAATTTTCGACCAATTCATCGAATTTTCTACCAACGATGGCTCCCTTACCCATCTTGTCACCATGATTCCTGTATTCGATGCTATGGTTGACGACCAAGACGTAAAAGTCCGCGTAATCTTGACGAATCTCTTCGCTCCTTTCATTTTGACATCGGACGATTATTCCTCGGTAATAACGTTCTCTTACTTTTTGGCCGAATTCGCTTCTGTCCTGTCAGAAGAAATTATTTTGTGTAGAATCCTTCCGAACTTCATCGGATTGCTTTCCATCGAGAATAATACGATCAAGACAACAGGTCTCCGCTGTATTGTGAAGCTTTTGGTCGCTTGTAAAACGATTAATAATGATCTTGCTTCAATTATCCAGAATTACTTGATTTCAGAGGTAAATACATTAGCCCACAAGGGTAATAATCAAGTAAGAATCGCCGTTGCTGAGACAGCTCCTAAATTAATCCATGAAATTTTGAGATTAATTCCAGATTTCATTACAGACGTACAATCAGTGCTTAACTTCATTATAAGTGAATCAGATCCATTAGTCATACAAGCTTTCCTCTACGGATTGAACGAATGCTGCGAAAATGGCGTAAAATTATTAGAAAATTTATTCCCGATACTTTTATCGTCATTTAACCATAGCGTTATACAGTACAAAGCAGGAATTCTCCAAACATTCATGAAATACTACGAAGTCAACACTTCTTTGCAAGATCAAAAAACAATGATGAAATTACTCAAAAGTTTAGCGCCTGCAACCATCGGATTCCTACAGCACGAGACTAATCCTGAAATGAGAAACCATTTCCTGGCATTTCTGGACTGGTACAACCAACAAAAATTTATGGATGAGGATATGATGAGCGACATCTTCACGGCAATAGGAAATTTGGTTGATTCCAAGGATGCTATGACCCAATACTACGTTAATTCTATTGTTTCCCGCTTGCCAGATCGATATAAAGAAGTTATGTTGCCACATTTCGTTCTGAGGTCCATAAACAAACATGGTTCTGTCCCTACTTTACAGGAAATATCCGAAAAGTTCTCTAAATTGTCAGAGCCGAACATTGTAGCTCATAAATTAATTTCCTCAAAGAGAACGAAACTGAATCCTAAGTTTTTACTATCTACAAGGGTTTCCAAGTATCCTATCCGTGATTTGGCCACAATTTCCTCAGAATCCATTGCTGCATTAACAAAAGAAGGAATTTCTATTTTATCTTCGACATCTACTGACAATGTTCACAAGATTCCTTGCCAGTATAAATCCTTCTGCTCATTGGCCGGCAAAAACAGCTTGGTTGTCAGTGATTTGAAAATGACATCAATATTAGACGTCGCAACTGAAGAAACAACCGAATTCTGCAAAGGGGTACACAGAATTCTCAAGTCTATATCATCCACATCCTTCATTGGTGCTTCTAAAGGCGTAATTGCGCAATACGACACAAGAGTACCGAAAGTTATTAGATATTTAACATTTAATGACTTAACTGTTGCCGATGTATGCAAATGGAGTGCTTCTCCTATCATTGGCGTCGGTTTTAAAGAAGGAATTGTAGATATCATTGATTTGAGAGCTTGGACACCATCATCGATGGTTGTTACGCCACCTGTAGAGACTGTTACACCAATTGCAGGTGGAACTTGTTCGATTTTCGTGTCTTCGTCACTTGAAAATTCTGCAATTTTCGATTGTTCGTCGAATTCGATGCTAGCTTCTATAAATGCTGATGGACTTGCAGTTGGATATTGCGGGAGAGCTGTTTTGGCTGGAAATAGAGGTACTTTCTTTATAGATTTGCAAGGAAGTTACAGATTAAACGAAAATTCTTACTCCGGAGAAAAAGCAATTCCACTTCCATTTGCAGACAAATTGTTCGACTGCAGCGGAGTCAATTACGCTGCAACTCTCCACGGACACACTGCTAGAATCACTTCTATCGCGAAAGATAAGAGATTTTTCACTGGAGATGAAGTTGGATTTGTCAATATTTGGTCTGTAACTGACTGATCTTGTATTTTTATACATATTTTTTGTTATATAATAAATTTAAATGTTGTTTTACTTTCTAATTATTCTGTATGATTTTACTTTATGGGTGCATTTACGCCCCTATGACAATGCATTCAATCCAGTCATTTAAGGTTGATTTTCAATTACGCTCCACGCCGGTTGTCAAAAATTTGAATTAAAGTCAGATGGGCGTAAGTGCAGCCTTAATGAGTATAATCAAGAAATGAACTTGTTTGAAATTAAGAGACAAGATGTAATTACTAGTGATAAATTAAGAGACAAGATTCCATTTGAGATGTAATATTATGACAAAACATCTTGAGAAAGTTTAAACAAAATGATCCCACTTGAGATAAACAATTAAGAAGAATTTACCTGAGATAAGCAATTAAGAAGAATTTACTTGAGATAAACAATTAAGAAAAATTTACTCGAGATAAACGACAAAAAAGTATTTACCTGATATATATAATAAAGAAGGATTGGCTTAAGATAAATCAAGAAAGATTTACTTGATTTAAACAAACAAAACGAATTTACTAGAAACAAACAATAAGTATTTACTTGAGATAAATAATAAAGAAGAATTTACAACAAATTTTGTAGAAGAAAATTAAGTATATGAACAACCTAAAAACATTAATAATTTTCCATTTCGCTTATGAGATTTCGGTTCTTCGGTTGATTCGGATCGTTTTTGATTGTCTGGCGTTATTGGTATGGCAGCATAGCAAAACGCAGTTGATAAATGTGAGAGTGGATTTACAAAACTTGTCTCAGCAGAATTTGTTGAGGTGTAACCATAATATGAATCAATGAAACAGTTATCTAAAATTGTTGTTGTTGCTGAAAATGATGAATACGCATTTTGCATGAAAGAGCAATGATAAAAAGTTGTAGTTCCACCATTTCCGTTATTAATAAAAGTTGAACTCTTCGAATTATTTATTATATTTGAAGAATAGAATATGCCTTTTATATCAATTTGAAACATATCATTATATTCTGTGTTACTATTTCCATAAAATGTGGTATAATTCACATTAATAGAAGTTCCACTTTGAGTATAAAAACAGGAGTCCCATATTGCATGATTAAAGCTATCATTTACTGAATGAATTAACTGTGTGCCACTTTTAAATCTGATTGTATTACCACCATAATTTCTTCCGCAATCAAATACAGTTCCTTCAATCAATGAATTATTGTATACAGCATATGAATAGACAAATTGAGCTCCATCACCATCTGTTTGACCTTTACAAAAATTCCCACAAAATCGTCTGTGAATAGCAGAATTGGAATTATCAATATGCATTCCGCCTCCTATACCTGGGCTATAACAGTTATAAAACATGCAATCTGAGTCCAAAAAATTGTAACTGCTGTCAGAAATGTATATTCCACTATTTGTTAAATTGTAAAATATGCATTGATAAAAGAAATATTGACTTCTACTTGAGAGCGAACAATTTACGCATGTTGTAACATCTCCTAAGAAGTTTGTATTGAAATATTCATTCCAAATATCAAGTAAGGCACCATCTTCATGAGTGATAAGATTTCTAAAGGATCTATTTGTAGTATGGATGAAAACAGATAGCATTCTTATAAATTTGACAGTTTGATTTTAGTGCTTTCAATTCTATAAATTTGAGAAAAATCTAACTGACGCCACTATCAAAATATATCTTATGGCATTTAATAAGGAATTTAAAAAAATATAATTTGTACCATCGACCACAACAAAATTCAATATTTGAATGTTTTGCATAATTCAGATTCGCTTTTATCATTTGAAATACCAAATAATGCAATTACTTGGAGATTTATACTTTTTGTGACTCATTTAAATTGAACTCAATACAATAATTAAGAGTGTGGTTGAATGACTGTCAAGAAAAAATTGAATCTTTGGTCGGTTATAATTTGATTCCTTTTAGTTTTAATATATTTCTATATTGAAGTTTTTTCAAACTCTTAAAATGTAAGAAAAAATCTAACATCTATCAGAAATCAAATAGTTTTTGATTAAAAAAAAAAAAAAAAAGGTAGTGGGGCTTCCAGGCACTTCGTGCCTTCTAGCCCTGAGGATGTTTGGTATAATGAAGTTTTTTTTTCTTGGGATGGCCTTCCGGGCACTTCGTGCCCTCTAGCCCATAAAAAGTTTAGTATAAATGAAGTTTTTTATTCGGAAAATTGTTAGTCTTCTGGGTCGAAAACATTATATATAATGTGTCGCTTTTCACAAATTATATATGTTTTCATGTTTTGTCAAACATGAACGTACATGTTTTGTCAAGACTTCTTCGTAAATGTTTTGTCAAGACTTCTTCGTAAATGTTTTGTCAAACATGAACGTAAATGTTTTGTCAAGACTTCTTCGTAATGAGTGTAAATGACCAAAAATATAATTTAGGGTAGAAGGTTAGATCTAACCTCTTTTCTAACCTCTTTTCTACCCTCTTGAATTTGTCAAGACTTCTTCGTAAATGTTTTGTCAAACATGAACGTAAATGTTTTGTCAAGACTTCATCGTAATGAGTGTAAAGGACCCAAAAATATAATTTAGGGTAGAAGGTTAGATCTAACCTCTTTTCTCACCTCTTTTCTCACCCTCTTGAATTTTCATGATTTCATCGTAAATGTTTTGTCAAACATGAACGTAAATGTTTTGTCAAGACTTCTTCGTAAAATCAGACAAAAATATATTTTAGGTGAAGAGGTGAGATCTCACCTGTTTTCTCACCTGTTTTCTCACCTCTTGAATTTTCATGATTTCATCGTAAATGTTTTGTCAAGACTTCTTCGTAAAATGTTTTGTCAAGACTTCTTCGTAATGAGTGTAAATGACCAAAAATATAATTTAGGGTAGAAGGTTAGATCTAACCTCTTTTCTAACCTCTTTTCTACCCTCTTGAATTTGTCAAACATGAACGTACATGTTTTGTCAAGACTTCTTCATCGTAATGAGTGTAAAGGACCCAAAAATAAAGTTTAGGTGAAGAGGTGAGATCTCACCTGTTTTCTCACCTCTTTTCTCACCTCTTGAATTTTCATGATTTCTTCGTCATAGGCACGGAGATAGGACGGTTATTTTACAAAACTGACAACACTTTGACCGAGTAGTTTTTTGTGCTGAACAAAAAGTGTCATATAAACATCTGTCAAAAACCGTTTTTTACTTCACTTAAAATGCCACGTAAGCTACGTAAGAATATACGTAAGAGGAAGAGAGCATTGAAACATCCAATAGTAAAACTGACACCACAACAACAGTTGCAACAACAAATGATGAATGACCCCACTATGTTGCAACAAATGTCAAGCAACCCTATGCTTTTAAGCCGAGTTATTGGTGCACAGAGTGGAGGTTTAAGAGCGGCACTTTTAGCGAAAATGGCAGGCTATGGTGGAGCTGCAGACGGAACAGCTTATAACCCTCAAAGTCAAATGAATTTGAGTTCACTCAAAAATCAAATAACAGATGTCAAAAAGTCAAACATAGACATACAGAAACAAATAAGTGAAAACGAAAAGAAACTAGAATATGACAGACACACAAAGAAACTCAATGAGTTAAACGTAGAGAAAAAGAAGAAAGAAGAACAACTGAAAGAACTAAGTACAGAGGAATATGCGAAAAAAGTGTCAGAAAAAGCAGCAGAAGTAGCAAAAATGGAACAAGATGTTATAAATTTGAAAAACCATACTACTCAATATAAAGTACTGAAAGATGAAGAGATAAAACAAAAAGCCCTGAAGACATATATGGATAGCGATGAGTATAAAAAAGAAGTTGAAGCAAATGTAAAGGCAGAAAAACTTTTACAGTTGCAAAACCAAACCGTACAGTATGAAAACTTAGCACAAGAAAGTAAAAATAACGACGCAGCCATGCAAAAGGCAATGAAAAGCGCAGAATATATAAAAGCTAATAATGACTGGTTAGATGCCCAAGCCAACGCTAAAGCAGCCCAACTTATAGGGTCAATAAGGACAAAAATACAAGCGGATGAAGACAGTTCAAATGAAGCTTTAATGAATGCTGACTTTAAGAACGCCTTCGAAGCTCTTCATAGTAAGGTGAAACTAGTGAACGACTTCTCATCTGGAAAGAAACTGAAGTCTGAAGGTTTCGACAACGAGTTAAGAGAAGTAGCACAAAATATGACGAAAATAACAGATGCAGCAACGAGACAGGCAGTTCAAAGTGCCTATGACGCCGTTAGAGCAACTGTTGTGGAAAGTCAAGAAAAAGAGTTACAACAGACCAAAACAGACCTAGTAAATGCTTTCTTAAAAACGAAAAGTCAGGTAGGACATTATGCTGCAGATGGAACATATGTGCCAGCTGGTGGAACTTATATACCAGCTGGTGGAACTTATATACTAGCTAGTGGAACTTATATACCACCAAACCCTCCAAGAGAAGCACCTGCACCAGGACTACCTAAAACATTTACATCGTCACATGGACACAGACACAGGCATGCACCAAAACCAGCACCACAACAACAACCACAACCAACAGTTCAAAACACTGCACCACAACCAACAGTTCAAAACACTGCACCACAACCAACAGTTCAAAACACTGCACAGCAACAACCACAAACAGAGCAAGGACATAAAAGAAGTAGAGAACAAGGAAACCAAGAATTCTTAAAAATGCTTAAGGAAAATTATGGTTACCCAGATACTCTTGACTTTAGTGACAGATATAAAGAAGCTATTAGAAAGTTCAAGGAAGGAAATACTGACCCGAACCTATTTAGCTTTATGGTTCAGCACCAAATGGGATATAATTTCAAACCTGGAAAATACAAGCTCGCTAAGGGATATGATTTAATAGCATATCATCCAAATGACATGACTGAATTTACTCCGAGATATTTGGTGTCAGAGATAAATGATAATTCAACTATCTTCATGAAACGCGTAAAAAATAGAGACGGAACGAAAGAAGAAAGGGTTATGAATGCGGATGGCTTAAATAGGGAACTTGTTAAAAACGGTCTCGGAATATATGAAATGCCAGCAGATGAGGTACAAGAAACTCCACAGGAAGAAGTTCAGATACAACCAGACATGGAAGAAATAGTTCAGCAACAACAGCTAGAAGAGCCTGAAGGAAACGAACAAGTCCCTCCTTTGGAAACTAACTTCACAGAACTAGATGAAGATTTGGAACAGCCGAAAAATCTTGACCCTCAACAAGTGTATGCGGGGAATATGGAATCTTTCCAAGAGTCTAAGAAAAATTCGGCTGACATAGTAGAAGAATATCGAAAAATGTTCGCCGACATACAAAAGACTCCAACATCAGATGAAAATATCCAGCATAGAATGGAAGTACTGAAAGATAATGTACACAAATACAACAATCCTTTTTACTTACGAGCATATAACGTTCAATCTTTGGATGAACTCGGTGAAAATAAAAGGTTAAATTTCAACAAAACATATAGAAATGAAACATTGTTTAAAGTTCATTCAGAACCTAGCCAATATGGAAACAAACCTACTTTTGTTTCTGCAGACTATGGAACTACAATGAGATGGGGTCATAAAGCTAATCCGGATAGGTGGTTCATAAACTTACAACCACAATTCCAAGAAGTTGTAGACGCAATGGAAGTGAATGGTGAACCAGATATAGCTGGTATTTTCAGCGCGGCTTTAATGCCATTGAAAGATATGAAAGATGCAGATATTTTGGACCAGTATGAAATGAACATGGCTGAAGGAAATATAACACCTGACGTTCTAGAACATTTATCTCAAAGAACTACACAGAACCATAGAGATGGTATATTTGGTGAAGAGTTTAGAAAGAAAGTTAGGGAGAGAGAAGGAAGAGAACCTATTGTACATGACCTTGCAAACGAAAGTTTGCAAAATGTCATAAAAACTTACTTTGCAGACAATGAACTGAGAAGGGATGAATATTTAAGAAAACTCAAATGGACAGTACCAAATGAAATGTTAGTATTGAAAAACATGTTCCTTGACAAAATAAAACCAACTACAGAAATAAATGACGCAAGACTGAAACATTGGGTAAAAGCTTTCCCATTCACAAAAGATATTATTGGTAACATGGAAAGAAAACCAGAATGGCTACAAAAACATATATTTGGAAACGAGCTTATTCCATATGGACAAGCTCTGTTTGAAGAGCTTGAACCGGAAACTCAGGAAAGAGTCATGCAAACAATACGCGAAGACTCAAATACAAACTATGACAAAATCTTTCTAGGATATAGGTTACCTGAGATGGGCGACCAGAGCCCAAAGGCAAAAAGGACATGGGAAATTTACAACATACTAGGTGAACATGAGGCAAAGATGCAACAACTTGAAGCAGAGGGCAAGTTACCAAAAGCGACACCAAAGAAGAAGAATAGAACAAAGTGAAAGTAGTGAAGAAGTAACTTCATCTAGTGAAAGTAGTGGCAATGAAGGAAAAAGAAGAGTTAAAAACTCAGTCAGGAAGAAAGTAAAGCTTGGTACGAGTGGGTTCTATTATGATATATAAATCCAACTATTCTATATTTTTACCCATATGAAATGTACGCCGCTCAGAATATAACGCCAACAGTTTTGGATGCCATGAACGGAAATGTTTCCGAATGGTATAACGAATGCGACAATGCCATTAGAAGGTCAGAAATAGTTCCTGGAACTTACGAATATACAACTGCTGTTTCTTATGGAAACGTAGGTGAGTTTGGAGAAGGTTCTTCAACAACAGTAGATATTGCTTGCGACAGGTTTCATATTATTTCTATTGACAACTCATTCTTATACGTGGAACAAGACATTGAAATAAAACCTTCTGCCAAGTTGTCTGACAGAAAGGTTGCAATGGAATTTTCTATGTCGGATACCAATATGCTCCAGAAGTTTTCATGGGATATAAGATATATTCTAACTCTGACTTAGTTCAAACAGTAACATGGGCAAACTATGAATGGTTCGCTTTGAGAAACTCAGTACAACCACAAGCTAGAGAACAAACAGACCAGTATGCAACTATTGAGAAAATAAGAAGACTTGACCCTAACGTTCCAGGAGTTTATGTTAACCTTTCTGAACAAACTGCAGCAGCAGTAACCAAAGTAAAACTGAAACTTAGAGTTCCTTTGTCATCTTTCCTCATCTTCAGGTTTTTAAGATACTTGCCAAACTGGGCAGGAAAAATTTCTATCGAACTTACTCCAAGCAAAAATAACTTAGTCATTGCACCAACACAAGACCCATTCACTCTTACAGACGTAATGGGAACAAATAAAACGTCATTCGCCGAATTTTGCAAAGACAAGGTTGACTTAGACTTTGGTTTCTCAAACTTCAACAATGAAGTAAACTATTATTTCAATGCTGCTGGAACTGCTTGGGACCCAGTTAAGTTCACATGCGAAAAGTTTGAATGCAAGAGAATAGAAAGCAGACTTGCAGTCTATATGTTGGACCCAGATATTTCAAATGCTTTAGCTGCCAAATATATTGCAGTTCCACTTATGTTCCCTATACACCAAATATCTGTCAAAGACTTTGCAGGTGAAGTTGGAAACCAAAGTGCTGACCCAGGTGCAAGAACAGATATTGCTTTAACAACTGCAATGAAACATGCAGATACTATGTTTGTACTGTTCAGACGAACTATAAATGACTATTCTTGTTTCTACAACCCCGGTATTAAATATCATATAAACATAGATGGCAAATATTATCCAAGAGAAGAATATTCTACAGTTGAGGATATAGGTCATACAACTTGACATTAGATGCTATGAACTTTAACAACAACTTCACAACAACCATTAACCCTGAAATGCAAAGTTCTATTATGCCATATGTGAAAGTATGGACTCATACAGGAGGTCAAAAAACTCAATATACAAATGGAGACCGTTCAAACTTTTGGCTTGGCATTCCATTTGCTGACTCAGAAGACTTTATGGGTGGTATTTCAACTGTTGGTACTGTACAAATACAATATACTGGTGACAGAGACGGTCCAGATGAATTGAAAGCAAAGAAGTTTACAAAACCAATAGCACTTTTCACGGAAGATGCTCTTTTGAAGATTCGTTCGATGAAACCTGCTGGGGCTCCTCAGATTGGCATAACGACAGCTTCCATCGAGCAGATTTTGGCAGCAGGTCAGTAAGTTGTTCTTGAACTGACTTCTCTCCGTCAAATATTGACAGTACGCCAGTTTTGACATAATATTGTAAGATAAACTTACCTTTAGAAATATCTGTAAGTTTTGTTGTTATATTTTTGTCTGCTTCAAAAACTTTCACCATTTCAGTTATACCAACTTTCTTTGCTTTATGGAAATATTTTGGTTCAGCAAATATTGCTATTCTATAACATTTACCATTGTTTGTATAAAGAACTATTCTGTCAATGTATTTGTATTGTTTGTGTGTGTAAACTTTGTTCTGCTTCAATTCGAAGAGATACTCGAATACGTCCATCTTTTTATTCTAAGTAAAATGTCATTTCCGAAAAATAGAAGCGTGAGTGTTTCAAAAGGTTTAATGGCGGTGGCAGATGTGAAGTTAAATTCACCAACTCAAACAAACAGTCAAAGTGTTGTTGTCAATGTCAAAGACAGAGATGTTGAAGTGGGGAAACCATACGAAGACGAAGATGGTATAGCAATTGTTCCTGTAAAAGAACAACCAACATATCCTGAAGTTAGCAGAGACTTAAGTTCTGTTGCAGATATTCGAAACGACTACCAACAACTGAAAGACAAACTTCAAACTCAGGAGAAGATTTGTCAAGCTTTAGGTATAATGTTAAACTTGGTCGAACACAACCCTGTA